GCAGTAGTATTGATATGTTCTGCAACCTCAACAGAAATCAGCTCAGACCATATTTAATGAGATCAGTGTTGTTGCCACACCAGAGAAGCAGAGAAGTGGCTGCCTTTTGTTCATTTAACATGTACATGGGTAAAGCTTGTTCATACGTGATGTTAGTTTCCTTAACATGGGGGTGCCGGGAGGCTAATCAGCTGATTCCTAAAGCCATTCGGCATCCCCCACCTCACATACACACAACACAAATCTTGTGCCTCAGCGCTGTACTTTACTGACTTTAATCTGATTGTGTGTGTGTGTGTGTGTGTGTGTGTGTGTGTGTGTGTGTGTGTGTGTGTGTGTGTGTGTGTGTGTGTGTGTGTGTGTGTGTGTGTGAGAGGTTGGTGGATGGGCGGGTGTTAACTACAGTCCAGATTCTCTCCTGTCTGCTAGCATCGACCGTTAGCTCATCATTCTGCCTTAGAGAGGAGACATTAGCCCAGCAGTGACCTCTGACCGTTATTAATAACCTTGGAAACTGTGCCAGCTGCTTGTCTTTTATTACTTTGCTACACTGTGGGTTCTTCATCTGGTCCCATGTTCATCATGTACCGCCATATTCATTTATAACCCAGGGTGCTTCCTCCATACTTTAAAAACAACTGAAGTCACTTTCACACTCACTTTTCAAAATTACCAGTGGCTTTTTCATTTCAGAAAATGTGCTCTCACGACAGAACAGATGGAGAACTTTGGCATTAAGAAAAGTGCTTCACTAAGCCTTTCAGGCAGAGAGGAGCATTTTCCAAAATTAAAAACAGTTTTTCGCGAGCCAGCTACTATCAGTTAAGAAGAAAGGCCAACGTCACAGTGTAAAAGTTGGCAGCAGTAGGTGTAATTCTGGTTCAAAGAATAGCTGGAGAGCACACAGGCTTTGTTGTTGGAGTTTTATGTAAATGTCTGAGACTCGTACCAAAGTGCTGTTTGCTGAGAGCGGCAGCTGGAATTAAACTGCTTGTTCAGATTATTTAATACAAATCGAAAAAAAATCCTTTCAAATCCTCTTATAATTCCAATATTAATTTCACCTGTTTCTGAATGACACATAGTCTTGCATAAAGTTTTAGGTTCTTTCTGGTGAAGATTTGTTTTAGTTCATTATGTATTCCCCCCCCACACACACACACACTCATATAACCATAACCTCAGATTTTCTTTCAGATCCCTCTCCGACTGTGTGCTGTTCTCATACCGCTCTTCATTACTCATCATTTATTCACCTTTAATGTGGAATTGGTGTTCCTTTCGGTTTGTTTGACAAAGCTAAACATTAAGTCCATTGTTAATAGTGACTAAAAAACAAGTGTCAATCGCAGTCAGATGATTCAACATTCAGCTGCTGAGAAAAAGCCATACACAACTGGCGAGACATTAATGTTTAATAGCCTAAGCACTGGGGGATCTGGACAGCCCATGTTTTTCCTGGATTTCTTTCACGTAAGCTATAAACTGAATGTAGTGGGTTGTCAGACCATTCCTCAAGAAGGAGGGTCTCTGTGTTTGAGGGACGCAAGAGGAAGAAGAAATCTACTTTAAAATCTCCCCCCATAAAGATTTCAATGTTTATATTTAATGACAGAGGTGTCTATGAATTCATTATAGATCCGCCATTCTGGACACTAAAGAGAGTGAGCTGAGGTCAACTTTAAAAAAAAAAATGTATGTCACCTATAAACTTAGATCACAGTATGAGATGTAAATTACACAGTTTAATCAGAATATGGCAGGAGTTGAGCATGGACTGATGCACAGCACACAGATGAGCTGCAGAAACACAAAGGGCTCCGGATCAGACCGGAGAATGCCAGTGCAGATTAAAACTGAAGTGGTCACTAATGCCTGGATGCATGACTTCGACTGTAAAATCCCTTAATTACAGAATGCGCTTTAGCTCACTATAATTATTGGTGTAACTGGGAATGCTGTTTATGTGTGTGTCTATCCCCTCTGTGACCCTGCGCTGTCAGCTGTGAGAGGATCACCCTCTGTCTCACTTGTCCTGGGGTCAAAGGTCAACAGCAGCAGTTTAAAGGAAGAGTCAGAGAAGGTCACTGTCATCTTGTTTTGAATGATGAATGTTGAGTGTTGGTTGGCCTGTTTACACAACCGGCTTGATAAAGACGAACTTTAAAGGCCTGGAGGACGATGATTGACCTGAATCTAAGAGACATTTTTACACACACACACACACACACTTTCCACGAAGCAGGTCCAGCATGTGCCTGGACAACAAAACACACACAGTCCTGGTTTTGACACACTGACACACATCTTACAGTGAAGGTCTGTAATACCCACTCTGCTCCAGGCGCAGTCAGCATTCACTCCTCTGTGTACTGTAGCACCCGTTAACCTGCACCAGCTGTGTATACAGACACACACACACACACACACACACACAGTACACATGGATACATTTGCTTCCTGCACCTCAGGGGAGTTTTTGGCCAATGGGCTAGCTCTCCAGGCCAGTTGGCCCTCTCTGTTAGTATGGTGTTCTCCAATCAGCACATTCCTCTTTCTGTAGACAGACACAGGGAGACGATTTTGGCAGCACACACACAGGGTGGGGTAACGCTCATATCCTGTCCCCTGACCTCAGATTATGCACGCACACACACACACACACACACACACACACACACACACACACACAGTCACTGTACTGTGTTGCTCATGCTCGCACTCAAAACACCACATTCTTGCTCTCAAAACGTACAGCTTTTCCTCTGTTTTAAAGCAGCTGTCACAGTCACTCTTTCAACCCAGAGCCCTCAGTGTCTCTCTGCCCACTGCCAGCTACAGAGCCGGTGTGGTCGTGCCAGTCCACGCCTGTTGTTATGCCCCCACACCAGTACAGACTCTCCTCTGTCTGTGTTAATGACCTCCCTCCCTCCATCTTTCCAACCCTCCATTCCTCCCTCCGGGCACCACTTGGGCACCAGCGCTGGGCTTAACAGAACCCTGTCTCCGACAACAATGACGCTCCAGTCCACTGCAATCAATTTGCCGCTGATTGCCCTCCTTGCATGTCTATCACCGGGTGTTTTCCTCTACATAAACAAGCCTGTAGCATACCTAAAGAGAAGGAGAAACAAAGAAAAAGAGACTCTAACACACATTTGCCAGCATGTGTACCCAGGCATGAAGTCAGAGCTGAATGCTGGCCATCCCATCTGAGTCTTTTTTTACGCAAAGAATGACAAAGCACTCAGCACTCAATCACACACTCCCTCTCACCAGAACTGTCTCTGACTTTGTTTTGCACAGTTTTTTTTCCTTTGCAAATGTCTGCTCCCTCCTTATTTTTTCACTACTTCACAGTATTGTGAAACCTCAAGAGTTTCCTCCATGGGAACGATGAGAATTAAAAGTCTGTAAAAGTCTAATTCAACCCACTGGCAGTCTACATACTCAACCCTAAAGGGAGCTTAGGAATCTGTTGTTTTTCCAAGCAAACGCCACACACAAGCGGATAGTGACCAGAGTGTGAGAAAGTTTTAAGATACAACACACAGAATATGAGTCACACATGGGACCCTCCACCCAGTGCCGGCTTATCCAGCCCACCACCGTCCAATCTGCTGTTGAACTTTGGCTCCCACTTTCTATCCTCATCTTATTTCCATTGTTGTTTCATACACACTCTGGGCTATGTTCCCTCTCTCACCATGTGTTTATTACCTCAACCCCCACAACCCTCTCCTCCCAGTTATCTTTGATTTTTCTCCTTTTTCTCCTCCTCTCAGTAGGTGACCTCTTGTCACCAGTTAGAGTGTGGTGGAGGTGTCAGGATTGAGGCTAAGCAGTCCTTTGGCACATTGCACTTGACATAGTATGAGGTGTTATCACTGGACACCGAGGAAGGGGATTAACTGATTGTTTGTGTGTACAAGGGAAGTGTATAGTATGTTATTTAAAGTTTCCAGTGTGTAACAGTTAAAAGGATCTTTTAGCAGAAACTGAATGTAATATTCAAAGGTATGTTTTCATTACTGTATAATCACCTGAAAATAAGAATCATGTTTTTGTTACCTTAGAATGAGCTGTTTTTATCTACAGAGGGAGTGGGTCGCCTTCTGTGGAGTCTGCCATGTTGAACGGCCATGTTTGTGTCTGTAGCCTAGATAAACAAACCCAACACTGGCTCTAGATTGGGCCTTTAGTGGTTTTCGGGTCACTGTAGTTTCTCCCCAATGCTCAGAAGATTGAGCTGAATTCAAATGGTTGCAATGTGCAACTTCACTGCTAGATGCCACTGAATCCTACACACTGGTGACTTAACTAGGTAGGGTGTGTCTTGCATGTATGTTTGCTGCACAAGCAAGACTATGTGTTTTGGGGTCCCAGTTAAGTGGACTTTGTCTCGGCTCTGTTGCTTTCCAGCAAACTGGAAGCCGTGGGAGTCCTGCCAGTCCAAGGCTGAATGAGGAAGGGAAGGGGTGGGGCTGGGTGTACAGTGGAAAAGGGGGGTGGGGGGTGGGGGGTGGAGGAGATAAATCGTTCAGTCCCATGTGAAACTGGCTCACATGGCTTCCTTTTTGCTCTGCTTACTATCCCAACTGTTCCAGATAGCCTTCACTTTTGCCATTGTTCTCTGCCTGGCACAGTTATCTGCTGGTTGCCGTAGTCATATTTGGGTTTCGTTGCCCAGAGGAGGTTTTTGTGCTCTCATCATGTTTGTTCACCAGGGCTAATGTAAGGCCAAACAATGGTGTTATCTCCTACCCTGGTTGTAAATGGACTAGGCTGTCAACATGTGGAGTTCAGTAGATTTGGTTTAAAGAGGATTATTATTATGACTCAACCCCTGCAAATGTATTAGCTAAAGCAGAGGCTGTGTGTGTTTGTGTGTGTGTGTCAGAGGAGTGTATACTTTATCTGGTTTGTGTGCGCAGTTGCCTGGTGTTTGTGTGATAATTATGACTAACATAACGGTGTGGTGTCGCTGTCCTCTCTCTTAGGTGACATCACGCAGAAGGGCTATGAGAAGAAGAAAGCCAAGCTGCTGGCCTCCTACATCCAACATTTGCCAAGTGAGACCATTTCTTTTTCTTTTGCTCTTTGCTTTATATCTTTTAACTTCTGAGCCCCACTTCTCTCATTCCTGTGTAATTCTCACATAATCTGTCAGCATTCTTGGAACTGGTCGCTCTGAGACTTAAAAGTTATTGCATCAGAAGAACTGAAGTCATGACTGGAAGTTGCATCTTAGTTAATGGATACTCCATCTGTATTAAGAATTACACAGAAAAAAAGTGTGGTTTTGAATGTGACAGTTTTTTTTTTCAGCTTAATATAAAAAAAAGTAACTGTAATTCTCTTTGTCCAGGACAATTTCTAGCTTTCTGTGGCACTCTAGTGGCCAAAATGGGAAATGCACATACAATCTCACTAACATCTAACAACTTCCCTAAAAGCTGCACCACTGTAGCAAATCCCCTGAGTAACAAAACCACTGCACGTCTCTGTGGTTGTGCTGTCACTTGTGAACCCCTGAACACAATCCGCTTAAACCACTTTACGGTTTACAACTAGTCACAGAAATGGGGAAGTACAAGAGTTCTGCTGTACTACCATGAGTCAGTCACATCTGTCCTCGTTGGTAAGCTGATCTGTTCTGTTTTTCTCAGTCAGCTGACTCGCATGAGGGTGCGGTGTTTCCTCTGGAAAAATTGCACCACATTAGCATTGGCATGAGCAAGTCCTTCTTGATGTGTCACTGTAAGATAATTTAAAAAGTGGAATATACTACACATCATTCCCTGCTTGTTCAACCTTGGCCTGGTTTGGCTTGAGCACACAGGGAATTGGAAATGACTGCAAAAATCAAAATCTCATATGAATAATTCTCAATTTAATGCTTTAATTAAGTTCCCATGCTTGTTAGTGGAGTCTGTTTTCTGTTGTGTTAGCTTGCCCTGGATGTCGAAGCAGGTATTGGGGTGCTTTGAAGCTCCATAGGTCACCTCCTGCTTAATCTACACCCATCCCCTTAGTCCTCCTTATCCCTCTGAACCACCATCTCCTCAGAGGCTCTGTTGCAGAGGTCTTCTGGGAGGAGAGGACAGTTGACTAAAAATATATGAGCTCGAATCTAGCCTAGTTTCATACACTGCGTTAACAGTATAAGTTGCATCAGTCAAGTGTGTGTCCTTATTTTACTTCATGCTCAGAGGCTCAGTAGTGGGTCTAAATTTAGAGAGCCTCTCTGAGTATCATATAATATTTATACCTACATGTGGCTGTAATGGCATTATGTAAAGCAAAAGTGTGCAACTTCCCAAAGGCCCATGTTTGTTTGTTGTTTATTATATATTTATTATTTATTATATATGTTGCCCTACATGGGTTTTTATTGACTTTTCACATACCTACTTCTGTTCTGTAGATGTGGATCTGTCTCTGCCAGATGTACAGCTTTCCCCAGGTCACAGTGCCGATCCCAGCCCCAGCCCTGAGGCCCCAGGCCCCTCCACATCTTCAGCCTCCAGACACCACCGTGCACACCGTAGTGGAGGGGCCAGGGACGAGCGCTATAGATCAGGTACACAGCCTACATACAGCCTATATGGAAAACACACACCTGAACAAACCATAAAACAACATAAATAATCATCAACCTGTCAACTTGCTTGTTTATATATTTTTTTCATTCTTTCTGCCTACCTCATTTGTTTGACTCACTCTGTTTATTCTTCCCGTTTATATAGACATCCACACAGAGGCTGTGCAGGCAGCACTGGCCAAACACAAAGAGGAGAAGATGGCACTGCCCATGCCAACCAAGAGACGCTCAGCCTTTGTCCAGTCTCCCATAGATACCTGCACACCTCCAGGTAAAGTAGATTTCTCACACACAATGGGCTGCTAGTCAGTGTAATGATTATGGGATCTGCTTTTCAATCAATTGGGGCTAAATATTGTTAAAAAATAAGAACATCTAAATAGTCAGGATTTTCTCTTTCCATCAGATACATCTTCTGCATCAGAGGATGAGGGCTCACTGCGCAGAAAGGCAGCTCTCAGTGCAGTACTAGCCCAGAGCCTGCAGAGTCCTGATTACTGGATCAACCGTTCCGTCCAAAGCTCCTCCACGTCCTCGTCTGCTTCCTCCACCCTCTCCCATGGAGAGCCCAAGACGCAGCCACAGCCTCAGATCACACCCGCTGCTTCCTTGTTGGCCGATGTACTGGCCCACACACGCATAGGTAGTTTCCAATCTTAAATAAAGCTCCAATATTAACAGATACATCACTGTGATGGTTGGCTGTTGTTTTCTTTTATAACGCTCGCTTTCTCTTCTCCTTCAGAAAACAGTGTCCCCCCAGATGTGACATCCTCTACTCCCCAGGAGAGAGGGTCCAGGGTGGACCTGCCTCCGGCAGTCAGGGGCATGAGCCGTGGGCAGAGCCGCTCCAGCATGCTGGATACAGCTGACGGTACACTTAAACTCACGCATGCCAAGATGTTCATAAATGTCTGTTAGTGGTATAAATGTAGAAGAGATGAAAGAGAAAATCACATTAATCTTAATTCTATTCCTGGAATTTGGATACTGTCACCTGGTTGTCGATGTTCTTCTTCAGATTGGGAGGTTAAACCATTTGCATGTTCTTATCATGGCAATTGAGTGAGGTTTTCTGTTTTGCACTTACCATGTGTGGTGACAAAGCTGACTGGTGTGTGTTCAGATCAATAAACAATCTTCCCATGTTCATCCAGAATCATCTTCAACCTCATCCTCATTTCACTGTGTGGGGAATGCTGCTAATGACAGTATTTTGTGTTCTTTCTTTTGGGTCCATTAATCCTGTACCTGTCTTGCCTTTCATTTAAAAAAGGAAAAAGAAAAGGTAATATAAATCGAAACTGGGGAAGGGGAGGGATGCTGAAGACGCCCAAATCAGCTTGCTTTCCAACCTGGCGTCTATCTATCTGTCTTTATGTTTGTCTTGTGTCATAGGTTTAGACGTAGAGAACCTTGTATATTTATTTTCCTAAAGCTCGTCCAATCTGTGTCTCCTCAAGTACCAATTTCCCCTTTGAACTCTCTCGCTGCTGATTCTGATCCTGACTGTGTGTGAGAGCGTATGGTGAAGTAGAGATTTGTGTTAGAATAGAAATGCATGTGTGGGTGTGCGCGTGTTCTTTTGTTTGTTTGTTTACATATGTTTGTGACAGTGGCTGTTCTTGGTGTTTGTCCAGGCGTGCCAGTCAACAGCAGGGTGTCCACTAAGATCCAGCAGCTGTTAAACACACTCAAACGGCCGAAGAGACCACCACTCAGCGAATTCTTCGTTGATGACTCTGAGGAAATTGTAGAAGGTGAGAATAGTGTCCATATGCATTCGTGTTATGTTTTTGCTTTTGTTAGAAAAATTGGAAATAATCACAGTAATCAAACACACAGAACGGGCCCTGAGTTACTCACATGAGCACATTAATCCTGCATGAATTTCACCATCCCACATAGGCTGCTAAACAATAACTCACAATTTGTTGAATGGGTTGCTTCATTCAGACTGATGGGGTTGTTTTTTCTTCCTGCTTTTGATATCACCTTTTGTAAAGTTGGATTTTTTTAATACTTGTACAGCAACAGGGAAATACTATTTATTTTTATTTAAAAAAAAACAAAACAATTTTAATTACATGGAAATCTTAATACAACTACCATAATGTTTGTGACACAACTGTTGTGTTATCCACAGTGTCATTGTAGGGTTACACCCTTATTCATAGCTTCTTCTAATCATCTACTGCCTCCCTCTGTTGTTGTCCAGTGCCACAGCCAGACCCCAACACCCCAAAGCCAGAGGGACGTCAAATCATCCCAGTGAAGGGGGAGCCTCTCGGAGTGGTCAGTAACTGGCCTCCTGCCCTGCAGGCTGCCCTGGCCCGCTGGGGGGCCACTCAGGCCAAGAGCCCTGCCCTCACCGCTCTGGATATCACCGGCAAACCTCTCTACACACTCACATATGGTGAGCAGAACCTCGACTCATAGAAAATGTTAATGTAGACAGTTAACGGAAAAAGGTTTTTGTTAAACTTTATAAACTCAGTTTATAAAGTTCGTATCCACAAAATGTAAATGTGAGATATATTTCACACATGAGCTGGTTCAACTGAATAAATATTTTTTGGCTTGAGCAGAATAACACCTACATTTCCTCCAGTGTGGAGCTATAGTGGGTTGTAGAGTTCAACTATCCTGGATCAGTTATACAACATTAATACATGGACAACAAACACGACATTTTAAAAAGCATCATTCACTTTTCTTCTTCACAGGCAAATTGTGGAGTCGCAGTCTGAAACTGGCCTATACGCTGCTGAATAAACTGGGCACCAAGACAGAACCTGTCCTTCAACCTGGAGACCGGGTAAGAGTCTTGTCAGTCAGCACTCGGTACAGTAAAGTATAAAGGAACATGACACAGAAAAGGAGTTTCTCTGTTTCGTAGGTGGCGCTGGTGTATCCAAACAGTGACCCCGGCATGTTCTGGGTGGCTTTCTATGGCTGCCTTTTAGCTGAGGTCATCCCTGTGCCCATCGAGGTACCACTGTCACGACAGGTAAGGATGTCACTGTTGCCGAGTGAATTCCTCTGTAGTGATCACTAAACAGAACATCAGATGTAATCCTTTATAAAAGATGGAGCATGGAAGCAAATCGTGAATTGTTCAGTCAGGTCTCAACTGTGTCTGGCATTTAATAAATGATAAACTTGGTCAATTTTAACTGAGCAACCATTTTATTAACAGTTTCATAAAACTTTCAAATTATTAAGTGCCATGTATGTTGTTATAATTATCACTGTGTATAGGGTATATGTAATTCCTCATTGCTCATATGGCTATTTAAAACAAAATATGGATTTATTATATAACATATTGACAGCTGAGTGTATGTGTGCTTTTTAATTGAGACAGGTTTGTATACTGGCCTCTCTTTGCATGTCACAAGTCTCTTGACCCTTGTCTCTCTCCTTAGGATGCTGGCAGCCAGCAGATTGGCTTCCTGCTGGGCAGCTGTGGTGTTAGTCTGGCGCTGACCAGTGAGGTGTGTCTTAAAGGGCTGCCCAAGACACCAAACGGAGAGATCATCCAGTTCAAAGGTCAGTCAGCCCGAATGCTGCTTGGGAGCCGTTAGAAAGGCTCATTAAAGGGAATATACAGAGTGATGTTCACTGGCCAATTTAGGGCCGCAGTGTGTGAGTGGGTGGTAGTATTGGCGGTTCACCTTTGGCCTTGAAAACTGGAGGTTGGGGGTGAATTTAATGCAGCTCCAAATTAGTGTACATAAACACACTTTCACACTTTTTCCTACTTTTCCTTGTGTCAGCTAAAATATTTCTGTATGTTTCTTTGTGATGTTTACCAGGATGGCCGAGGATGAAATGGGTAGTGACAGATACAAAGTACCTGACCAAACCATCCAAAGACTGGCAGCCTCACATCCCCACGGCCAACACAGACACCGCCTACATAGAGGTACATAAATTCTTCTTTTCAGCATTTCTACTTTGGTACATACCAAAATTTTAATTGATTTTACTGATCATAAATGAATTGTAGAAAGGTTCAGTTCCTGTATTTATTAAATCTGGAGTTAGGACTCACCTGTCTTTCCCAAATCTTTGAGTCATGGGGTGACTGAGCATTTTCCATTACTGCAAAACTGTCCTGCATCTAGAAACTGTATAAAATCGTCTTTGAAAACATATAATACATTTGTATGTTTGTTTGATGTTATCTTATGTGTTTTATTGGGATGTAAAGATATATCGTGAGACAGTTAAAGACCGATGAAAAGTAAATTGTTACATTGTATGTTGTTGTATCAGCAATAGAAAGAAAAATATATTTTGTAGATTGAAAAAATAAATCTTTTTCATTTTGTTAAAAAAAATTTGAGAAATTTGTATAGTGAACCCAGTATCCTGAATTGTATCAAATGAAAAAAAGAGTTGAGTGTACTGTGACATCTATAGTGTTTTACTGTGCTTTCTCCATTTTCTTTTTTTGTTTACTCTAAATTTTTGTGTTTTTATGCTTTGTAAAGTATTAAGTATTGTTTTTTATAAATTTGACTTTTATACATGTATTTGTTAAATCCATGATTACTTTTATTATTATTATCGGTTTGTTTCCAGGTAGCTTGTGCTTTAGTGTAACTTTGTCGATGTTTGTGTGTCTCTTCCACCAAAGTACAAAGCAAGTAAGGAGGGAACAGTGATGGGAGTCGCTGTCTCCAAGATCTCCATGCTGACCCACTGTCAAGCCCTGTCGCAGGCCTGTAACTACTGTGAAGGTCAGAGCTCAGTGCTTTGTGTAACTGTTACCTCTCCTGCTTCTCTGTCTCTCTTATGCTAACTCTCTCTCTCTCATTCTGTGTAAGGGTGAGACACTCAAGCTTTATAAACTAAGCATTAGAAATTATTATATTATAAGGTTGAAAAGTGCTCAGCTCTTGAGCTCTTCAGCAGCACATTTCATCTCTAGCCTGCCCATCATTTATTTTCACTCTCTCCAGCTCAAAGAGAGGCACCTCAGAGGGGATTAGCTGAGGATCATGATTAAAGAGAATATACACTCTAATGGACCACAAAATTAAATTTTAGGTGGCACCCAAATAGTGCATCTTCTACACAGTTAGCTGCTGATTGCACACATATTCACTTTGTTTTTGTGTTTTCTGTTTTAGGGGAAACACTGGTCAATGTGTTGGACTGCAAGAAGGATATGGGCATGTGGCATGGCGTCTTAACGGTGAGATTGAATGCAATCAACAATGTACCGTTTATCCACACTAGTTCACTTTTTTAACTTTGGTATGAAGCAAAATCTGACATTAACAATATGTGCATTTTTCCAGAGTGTCATGAACAGAATCCACACCATCACAGTGCCATATGCTGTCATGAAAGCATGTCCCATGTCCTGGGTGCAGAGGGTCCACATTCACAAAGGTACAGCCAATGTCCAATCTTACTTTTATATAATGGTTATTATTATTAATATTATTATTGTATTGTCTGCGCAATTTGATATATGTATTTAATCAGGTAGAGCATCAATTAAGTAACAGGGGTATTATTAAAAGATCATAACTATCTACAAGACCACAAAAATGGCAACAAAGGTCACTGATTAACAGTATAGCAAACACAAACTGTATATGTAATTGATGAAAGCCGTAATTACAATATGTAAGTGCATCCTATATAACATACTCCCCTTATCCTCTGATAGCACGAGTGGCCTTGGTGAAGTGCCGTGACCTCCACTGGGCCATGATGGCCCACAAGGACCAGAGGGACACCAACCTGTCCTCAATACGCATGCTCATTGTGGCTGATGGAGCAAACCCATGTAAGTCACTTCTCCTGCACAAACATAGTCTCTTTCTAATAATCTAATATCATGTTTTTGCCTACTTCTTGTATAAGTAACGTTTTTGTCCATTGTTTGTTATCAGGGTCTGTGTCGTCGTGTGATGCCTTCCTGAATGTGTTTCAGTCTCATGGTCTGAAGCCTGAGGTGATCTGTCCATGTGCCACCTCTCCTGAAGCCCTGACTGTGGCTATACGCAGGTATCACATCTGCATACTCACATGCTCTAGGAAGAGACACTCTGACACTGGAGAGTTCAAAACCAGTGTGGTTTTGCATGCAAACAACAAGAGTAGCTTTCACAAAATGTTCACCATTAAGGCGCTTATATTTAGTTGTATACTTATTATATATTTAGATGTCTTGAAATAAGGGATGTATATTGTGTTTTTTATTGACATGTAAACAACCATTGTGTAACTACCTGACTTGTAGGAAAGAGGAAGTAAGAAAAGAAGGAACAAAGACAAATAAGTAGATAGAGTTGTGGTTATAGCACCAACTGGCAAGAGTTTTGTGCTTACACGTCTCTTCCTAAGATCATGCTTTTCTTAGTTCAGTTTAAAAATAGTGTGTAGGCTAAAATAATTGCACTAATTTGAAAATTAATCAACTCAAAAATAATACCAAACCAGGGTTTTTTTTATGTGTGCTTAATACTGCCTTCCTATCTGGCCTGTTCACTTCTCTTTTTGCCTTCACTGTAGGCCTGGTGCACGAGGAGCTCCACTACCAGCCAGGGCCATCCTGTCCATGGGCGGGTTGAGCCATGGGGTGATCAGGGTGAACACGGAGGACAAGAACTCTGCTCTCACGGTTCAGGATGTGGGCCACATCATGCCTGGAGGTTAGCCACTGGCTTTAATTTGCACTGCTGATGTGCAGCAGTTGCCACATTTACTGAACTTTATGTAAACATACGTAATGTTAAAATTGTGACCTGGTTGTGTGTTTCAGCTCTGATGTGCATTGTGAAACCAGACGGACCTCCTCAGCTTTGCAAGACAGATGAAATAGGAGAGATTGTGATCAACTCTCGGGCTGGAGGCACCATGTACTACGGCCTGCCTGGCGTCACCAAGAACACATTCGAGGTCTGTCAAAGTTAAAAGAACTAAACGGCTCATTCCAAATCTTTTCTTGACACACTAGTATACAGAGAGAGAAGACAAAAAATGTAGTTTGCAGCAACATCCAAATCACAACTCTAAACTAAAAAGTCATGTCAACACTTGAGAATGGACTTCCTGGCGACCTGCCCAGTGAGTCCCCTGCCTCTTGTCGAGTGTGTGCTGGGTTCAACTCCACTCCCCCTTGAATCTGCGCAGGATTAGCTGGTTTAGAAAATGGATGGATGGGAAAGAAGCACAGATTAAAATGATCCACTAGATGGAGCCACAGTCACCATGAAATTGTTATTTATTCCCTCATGTTGTCCAATAAATGTTTTAAATTTTTTAATTTAAATTTAAATTTAAATATTTTTAGGCAATAAATCACCTTTTAACTAACCTTTTAACCACAGTATCTCAATTCTTTTGACAATCCTTAAAATATAATGTCAGGGTGAGATTTACTGTACTGCGTGTATTTGAGTCCAATGCTTGATTTCTCTTCCAATCCTGTAGGTGATCCCCGTGAACCAAGCCGGAGCACCTATAGGCGAAATTCCCTTCTCTCGAACTGGTCTGCTTGGATTTGTAGGACCTGTAAGGCACACACAGAAATAAAGAGTTAGCCTTCGGGAATAAAGGACTTCTGTTTTCCTTACTGAGTAAAACTGTCTGGTCCACAGGGAAGTCTGGTGTTTGTTGTGGGTAAGATTGAGGGGCTGCTGATGGTGAGCGGGCGACGCCACAACGCCGACGACCTGGTGGCCACCGCGCTAGCAGTGGAGCCTGTCAAAACAGTTTACAGGGGGAGGTGAGACACTGACTGCTCATAACAGTGGGCACAAAGACCAGTTCAGCCATACACATGCTCATATGAGTAATGATGATTTTGTGATGTTTTATTGGTAAATTATAAAAAACTGCTCCTGTATATCCGCCCAAACTGAACAATCCCTTTAACATCTTGCAGCCATTCCCTTTGTGTTGGTCTGGAGTGTGTGAGTGCTCATTTCTCCGTTGTCATTCATGCAGGATCGCTGTGTTCTCAGTGACTGTGTTTTATGACGAGAGGATAGTGATCGTGGCAGAGCAGAGGCCTGACGCTAGTGAGGAGGACAGCTTCCAGTGGATGAGTCGAGTGCTGCAGGTAAATCACATATATAGTCTCACCTAGTGTGAATATTTCATACAGTTTTACTTTTAATTAGTGCTGTCAGTTAAACTCATTATTAACGGCGTTAACGCAAACCCATATCAACGGCTTCTTTTTTATCGCAAGATTAACGTTTGTTTAACTTTGTAGTTTTTTTCACATGCTGTTGCAACAACTAGTAACGTTAGAAAAACTACAACACCACACCGGATCTAGCTAGACCGGAAACAAAACAACAGGCACGCCACACACACTTGTTTAAGAGTAGTAGACGTTACGTTTTGAGTGGATGGCGAGCGCGAGACGCCGAAATGGATGCCAATAATATTCTGAATGGAAAGTTTACTTTTAAAAAATTGCCAAATGGTTCCATTGACAAGACCAAAGTGATCTGTGTGTTTTGTCATTGTGAACTGAGCTATCATCGCAGCACGTCCAGTCTGAAATACCACTTGATGGCCGAGCACACAGCTGATGCGAATTCTCCGCCCCCTCATCAAAGCTAGGCGACAATGGATGAATTTTCAATAAAAACAACATTTGCACAAAGCAAGCTGATCCACTTTTCTATGTTGATAAGAGCATTAAAATGAGAAAAAATAATGGGACAAAAAGAAATTAAGGGACATTTAGAATAGATAAAAATGTGCGATTAATTGCGAGTTAACTATGACATTTTAATACTTTAATCATTTGACAGCACTACTTTTAATGGTATTTTAGGTGATCTAACTCTCCCTTTTATGCCTAAAGTTCAGTTTGAAAGTGCTTTATCATGGTGGATGAAATTAAACTTTGAAGGTCTTGTTTGTACTGAGGTCTTAAAGGGACTCAGCAGCCTTTTCTCAGAAGGACATTTTATATACTGTGTTCATTTTGCATTTAAACTATATCACGTGATTTTCTGCACAGGCCATCGACAGTATCCACCAGGTTGGCCTTTACTGCCTTGCGCTCGTCCCAGCCAACACCCTCCCAAAGACGCCCCTTGGAGGGATCCACATCTGTGAAACCAAGCAGAACTTTCTGGAAGGGAACTTGCACCCCTGTAATATCCTCATGTGCCCACACACCTGTGTTACCAACCTGCCCAAGCCACGCCAGAAACAGCCAGGTAGGCCGCCTCAGACCATACCTACTGATGTTCACTGTAGAACATCACAGCATATGAAGTATCAGAATATTATATGTTGTTATTTGGTTTGTGCTGTTGGCATCGTGACTCTGATTGTCTGATTGTACGATCTGTTCAGTGGACGTCGGTCCCGCTTCTATGCTGGTCGGCAACTTGGTGGCAGGGAAACGGATCGCCCAGGCTACAGGCAGAGAGCTGGGTGTGGTGGAGGACCAGGATCTGATCCGAAAGGTACTGTTTGCCACACAAACCCTGAACCACACTAAGCCTAGAAAATAATCACTTTAATTTAGATTACTGTGAACTGTTATACTTAAAGCAATCTGTAACATTAACACCTTGACAGTGAGACAAAATGTATACTAATAAACAACAATAAACTCTTGCTATTCTTAATAACTGTATATTTTACACACTATATTAAAGCTGCTATGATTAGTCGATCTAACTATTTTGATCGTTTAAGTGATTAACTGAGCAAAAATGGCAAATATATGATGGTTCCAGCTTCTCAAATGTTGTCCTAACATTATTGTAAACTAAATATCTTCGGGCTCCTAGAAATTGTTATTATTTTATAATGTTTTACAGCCCAAACAATGAATCACTTAAGAAAATAATCAGCAAATTAATTGATATATATATATATATATAATCCTTAGTTTCAGTCCTGCTGTATATGAAATACAAATCTATTCAAATGAAACTGATGCATAAACTGGAAATGCTCTGAATGTGTTTACCAAGTTACCTAGACACTGTAACAGTCAGTGGAAAATGGATACTGATTAAATCTCTGTTGTTCTGCCTTTACTTTGCTTGGGTTGGGCTTTAGCTCTGTATGTGGCCCACCATGATGGTAAGGCTCTAGCCGGGCCCCCCCACCCGTCTTTGCTTCTGCTGCTTCTGTCAGTCAGATGTGCTTTTGCAGCCGTGATATCCCGATGGCCACCAGCAGCAGCTTTGGCCCGACGCACAGAGATGACTGTTCAGGCTGGTTCCTTGGCCAGCAGGGGTCCACACACCTTAAATAATATACAGTAATACATTAAAAAAGGAGTTAAGTGCCGCTCTCCATTCATCAGTGTCCAATAATAGACTCTCTCTGCCATCACCTTTTTAAGATGGAAGTTGGCCGGCAGCCTACTTGCTTTGGCAAACAAAAAGCTCAGCAATAAATAAAGTGACATTCATGCACTCTTAAGTGAATGAAAGCTTCTTGTCTCTCTTGCTTTAAGCAGGTAATGCAGTCTCATAGCATCTGTGACCATTGCAGACCATGTCATCATACACTGTGATGCATTATGCTAATATTTTGATACAAACCCCAAAATAAAAGCATTAATTAGGAACATTTTCGTGTGCACCTCTGCTCGCTGTGTCCACTGTGATGCTCCCACATGTAGCATGGCTTGATGAGTGGTCAGGGCAGCCGGTCTGCATGATGTGACTCCTGATTCATTATTAACCAGAGCACGTCCTGTTGTCTGACTGAGAGAGAGAGCGAGAGAGAGAGAGAGAGAGAGAGTGGCACAAAGGATGACTACAGCGAGTGATTTTAATATGCCAGTAATGTGACACTGTTGTATATTATGTTTGTTTGTCCAGATAGTGTCATGGTATTACGTTTATTTATTTTTTTGTACTTTTATGTGTTGCCCAATGTTGCTGCCCTTAACGGAAGTCTTTACTTTCCCTTCTTGTCTTTTCTGATCATGTGCACTGGCCAGTTCCTCAGCGTATGGACACGCTTATGCATTTAATATTGTCCATATGCTTAATTATAAAAATAGTAAGTGGATTGTTCCCTTGAAGCAACTTTGTTTAAGTAATAGCACACTGAGGCACTAATATGTTGTGGAAACTTCTTTTTCAAAGCTGTCATGGCTCTTTTGTTTGAAAGGTCCATAGCTTGTTAGTATTTGACAGTGGCTCCAATTTGCCTCCTACCAGGTGCAGATGGTCCCAGCATGACCCTGTACTTGGCGAGAAAACATTTTCTGGGCGTTCCTATATTCCTGTTTGTGTGTCTCTGTGTGAGAGGTCAAACGCGTCATCAGTATCTTTGACGTTCTTTAAAATGTTCTCTGTTCTCTGTTCCACACAAAGTCTGTTTGAAATGAACTAATGTATCTGTTGTCACTGAGAGGACCGTTTATTTATAGCTGTTGGTTGGATGATTAATGAAGTGCAACAGTGTTTGACTGTTTCAGGCTAGCTTTTATGTGTTTCTATCTGTTGATCTTTTTTAAATGGATTATTATTTGCCACTAATGCAGCTTTGAGTCGGCTTTGAGTCATTAATGTTTATGTGATGACACACTCTCTTTACCAGCACCAGTTCTTGTCTGAAGCTCTGCAATGGAGAGCTCAAACCGACCCAGACCATGTCCTGTATGTGCTGCTCAATGCAAAGGTAGATTGAACACACACACACACACACACACACACACACACACACACACACACACACACACACACACACACACACACACACACACACACACAATAAATCAGAGAAATCAGTTAAAGGTCCAGTGTGTAGGATTTAGTGACATCTAGTGGTGTAGTTGCAGATAGAAAGTTGCTTCACCCTCCCCTCCCAAGTGTGAAGGAGAAACTACGGTGGTCGTAAAACACACAAAAAAAAGCTCCTCTCTGCCGCCGGTGTTTGGTTTGTCTGTTCTGGGCTACTGTAGAAACATGGCAGTAGATATAAACAGCTCATTCTAAGGTGATGAAAACACAATGACTCTTTTATTCAGGTGATTATACACTAATGAAAACATACCTATGAATATCATATTCCATTTCTGCCAATAGATCCTCCTAAATGTTACACACTGAACCTTTAATAGTGAGAATCGATGTATCAGAGAAACATACTGACATAATCAATACATAATTGTCTTTGTTTTCCCTGGTTCCTCCTGCTGCATGTCAGATTGTCCTTGAGGAAGACACTGAACCCCAAATTGCTCCCGGTGCTTTGTCATCGGTGTATGAATGTGTGTGTGTGTGTGTGTGTGTGTGTGTGTGTGTGTGTGTGTGTGTGTGTGTGTGTGTGTGTGTGTGTGTGTGTGTGTGTGTGTGTGTGTGAGTTAGTTTCCATTTCTGATGTGTCTGTGTATGAATGTATGTATATGGGTGAATGTGATGCAATGCAATGCAAAGTGCTTTGAGTGGTTGGAGGACTAGAAAGTGCAGTCCATTTACCATTCTCCCTTTGGTAATGGTACTAATGGTGATCCATCTTGTTGGGTGTGAGTTCAGCTGTACTCCCTCTCATTTTGCTGTAGGGGGTGGCAGTGTGCACAGCCACTTGTGCTCAGCTGCACAAGAGAGCAGAGAAAATCACAGCTACCCTAATGGAGAGAGGAGGCCTCAACACAGGAGACAATGTGGTGCTGCTTTATCCCCCAGGTAAACACACACATACACACATCCCTCATCATTGTAGATGGCCATCTTTTCTTATTTTTCAACTTGATATACAGTGAAAAAGTACAGCTTTAATTTGCTGTCTTGTATTTCCACAGGTATTGATCTGATAGCGGCCTTCTATGGCTGCCTCTATGCGGGGGTCATCCCTGTGACTGTGAGGCCACCGCATCCACAGAACCTGGCTGCTACTCTCCCCACGGTCCGCATGATCATCGACGTGAGTGCACACCACTGGGACTGCGTCATAAAAATTCAACAACACATTAATAGTGCACCTGTTACATAGTATTTTTCTTACGAAAGCATAATAAAGTAATGAATGTACAATTATTCAAGTACAACAAGTAATATTTTTTCTTCATTACATCTTTAAGCACATTTCAGTTTCCACTTTATATATCAATATTCAGGGATAGATCGAGAGGGGTGGCAGGAGTGTCAAAATAAATACGCTGCCAACACGGTTCAAATGGTGTCAAATTAAACACATTAATTTAGAATAATTTTAAAAAATGTGTTCAAAACAGACATTTAATTTGACGATCAGTTATGGCCACATTTTAGACTAAGTGATGGGCTTAAGTTCAATGAAAAAATATACCTTTCTAATATATTTCTATTCAACGCTTTACTAATTTTTTATTTGGGTGCTTTTCCAAGCAAATATTGATATGCTCCGACTAAATAAGCATATATTTCTGCCACCACATGAATATCTGCCCCTGTCAATATTAGATTGCTTTTAAGCACAAAAATATGCATCATATACATCAAAAGGGAATATAAGCTTTACTTTTGCTATTTTTGCACCACTTGAGTGATCTATTATAATTACTGAAGTGACCTAAAGCAAGTAACTGAATCCCACCTAGATTTAATGTAGTAGTTCAACTGTTGACCCCTATAACTGATTTCCCTGGAGGGAAGCAAATAAAATTGAATTTTACCTTGAGGATCAATAAAGTATAACGATAATTAGATGCATTTTAATTGAGTAACACCTCATATGGAGGATTTGTACCAGATATCACTATTAAAGCATGGTTGTTTGTGTCTTTAAATTAACTTTTTTTAAAATATGTTTTGGATGTTACAGGTAAGCAAAGCAGCCTGCATCCTCACCACTCAGCCCTTAATGAGGATCCTCAGGTCCAGGGAGGCTGCTGCCAGCGTCAATGTCAAGACTTGGCCCACTATCATCGATACAGGTGCTGGACTCAATAGGCATCAGTTATGACGTGAAGCAGCTGACCACAGTTGTATGGAATTGTGTATTTTACAGCCTTTATGACGCATCTCTAGGGGCACACAAAGACTTGAGACTAAAAACATGTGTTCCCCTTTTGGCCACAAGGTGTCATGTTTGCTCTTTGCTTAACTTTGAATATGTTGGGGAAACCTAATGTAGACGTAAAGCTGCTCTCTGTAGTCCTAAATATGTTCAGCAAACATTCAAACATTTCTTAAAATAATAGTGCATAGTGTTATTTCATATGAAGAAGGTGTGATGAGTTTAAAAAGCATATATTGCTTGTAAAACAGCACATTCACACCTTAAATTATACCATCCTCCCACACAACAGAAACATTGAACAGTGAAAGTGTGTCATTTATTTTGTCCAGTAAGAAAATAACTTAAATCCTCTTCCTTCTTCTCTCAGATGATCTCCCCAGAAAGAGGCCTCCGCACATTTATAAGCCCCCTACAGCTGAGATGCTGGCCTACCTGGACTTCAGTGTGTCCACCACAGGCATGTTGACTGGAGTCAAGGTAAATCACTTTCACAAATCATGCATATCATATGTAACATGAAGCAGGTTTGATTTTTTAAAAATCCCTTAAAGTCCCCCTCCACTCAAACAAGTTTTCAGCTTATTGTTACTTCAGGTGGATGTTTGACTGTAACTGTGCCGAATGGTGAATGTGAGACACTTAGGCTGTTTTCACATCCGTCTGTTGATGCAGAAAAGATCTTCTGTGCTCACCTCACATTTGAGTTAAGAAGTGTATGTATGACCATGATTTTAGTTTGAAAGCCAATCATGGTCCAGTATAGAACTTATATAACTGTCATGTGGAAGCGTGAATAGATTTTCAGTGAAGTAGAAGACATCTTGTTAACACAAGTTAAGCTTTTGAAAACATTGGCATATTCAGATTTAGATTTTTGAGGGATAAAGGGGTAGATTTACCATTTTAAACATTTGTAATGAGGTAAATTATTGTTACCAGAGTAAGTGTATATGCTTTAAAAGGAGGTTTGGAGGGGATCTTTAAAGTAAATACTCAAAATAAATCATGCTTGTGAAGCAAAGATTCATGAAGTGAATGTACATTGTTGAATTTAAATCTATTTAGCTAGAGATGTGGTCAGCAGTACTGCAGGGTGTTAATGCGATCAACATGAAACCAATAGGCCTACAGATGTTTCTTCATATCCTTCGTACTGTTTTTGCCAGTATGGATGTAAAATACATCTTAAATTGCATATGTAATCGTCTTAAAAACTAAATTAAACCTGTTGAAACCTGTAGAAACCCTGTTCAACATATGCATGAAAAAATAGATATGTTTATACGGTTAATATAATGTTACGTACACTGTGTATTTGTGTCTTATTTGCAGCATAAGGGCTGTTGGAGACTTTGCTCTCTTATTGTGTCGGTTCAATTACAGCATAGAGCATTTTTTAAAGAGTTTGTTTCCTTTTTTAGATGTCTCATGCTGCAGTCAGTACTCTGTGTCGCTCCATTAAGCTGCAGTGTGAGCTCTACTCCTCACGCCAAATAGCCATCTGCCTGGACCCATACTGTGGCCTGGGCTTCGTCCTGTGGTGCCTCTCCAGGTAACGCACACAGAGACTGAATATCATATTTCATAAAACACGCTGTTCCTGTGAATGTGACGTTGTTGCTGTAACGGATGTGTTTTTTTCGGCCCAGTGTTTACTCAGGTCACCAGTCCATCCTTATCCCTCCCCTGGAGCTGGAGAGCTCACTGCCTGTGTGGCTGAGCACGCTTAGTCAGTACAAGATCAGAGACACCTTCTGCTCATACTCTGTGATGGAGCTCTGCACCAAAGGCCTGGGGACCCAGACAGAGATGCTGAAGGTCAGAGGCGCACTCATACACACCTTTTAAAATGATTGCTCCGTCATTTCTGTCATTAAAGTGATAAATTGTTTGCAAAGGAATCTTATCTGCTGCGAAGGCAACAGATAAACACCTGTCTAATTTAATCAAATAATAGTTTGTATGTATTGTTTGGGCACTTAGTGCCTCTATTAGTGAGGTGACAGTAGAGAGATGACAGGAAAGAGAGACAGGGAATGACTCCAGTACAACTCCAGTACAACTCCAGTACACTTTCAAACCATTCAATCCAGCCTGCTGCAGAAGAACTGTTTACAGCTGATTCTTGTGGTTCAGTGTAGCTCAGTATATCTGCTTATTCTGCTGGTATTTCAAAGCACTTTTGAAATACTACTATATCCACTAATGCTGAGTTCATGTTTGTGTCAAGTTCAGTCTACACTTTACCGTTAAAAGTGTGAATAACCTTTAGCTGTGCATGTCACTAGGCGCGGGGTCTGAATCTGTCATGCGTGCGGAGCTGTGTGGTGATAGCAGAGGAGCGTCCTCGCCTCGCTCTCACGCAGTCCTTCTCCAAGCTCTTCAAAGATCTCGGCCTTTCGCCGCGTGCCGTCAGCACCGCCTTCGGCTCCCGGGTCAACCTGGCCATCTGCCTGCAGGTTGGTTTCATATGGACACACACTGAGTCATCTTATGAGTTCACTCTGAATATGTTCTTTCCCTAATTCCATTAATGCGTGACAGATGCATTGTTTAGTCTACAGTGTTTAATCTTTTTTTCAGTTTCAGTCATTACAGTTATTTTTGTAAAATCCAATCATTTGATGGTCTAAATGAGCCAAAAAGCTTCTGCTTCAGTCAGATTTCTCACATTTCAGGGATGTTTATTTTCCTTTCTGTGTCCTCAGGGCACTGCCGGACCAGATCCTTCCACTGTCTACGTTGACATGAAATCTCTACGCCATGACAGGTAAGACCGGAAACTCTTGTAACAAGAACAAAGACAACAACAACAAACAATGCTGTGTCGGTCAGAACGAACACAATGATTTACAGACCGTCTTTTGTTCGTGTCTTTCAGGGTGAGGCTGGTGGAACGAGGAGCTCCACAAAGTCTTCCACTCATGGAGTCAGGCACTGTAAGTATTGATTATTGACTAAAAAGATGCAGGTTGTATTGTGGTTCTATTATCCCTCAAGCTAAACTCCCTTTATGTGTTCTCTTCTAAGATCCTACCAGGAGTGAGGGTCATCATAGTCAACCCGGAGACCAGAGGCCCATTGGGAGATTCACATCTTGGGGAGGTGAGTTTGAGTGTGTTCATGTGCACAGATACAAAAAGCAGGGGGGCACACTATTTATTATACTGTATATTTATTTTTTTTTGTATTTATTTAAAATACCTTTTTTTTGTCTTTGTTCAGATCTGGGTGAACAGCCCTCACAGTGCCAGTGGCTACTACACCATCTATGGAGAGGAGAGCCTGCAGGCGGATCATTTCAACACCAGACTCAGCTTTGGGGAACCCCACACTCTGTGGGCCAGGACAGGCTACCTGGGCTTCATCAAGAGGACTGAGCTACTGGACGCAAGCGGAGGTGAGGGGACATGTTTTTGAAACATTTAGTGAGAAATTATTGATAGATAAAATAACCAGGAATGTCTGTTTTGGCTAATCCATTGAATTAAATATCTGAAAAATAAGGGAACATATTGATGCAAAAATCATAAAAAACAAATGTAAAAACAAAGCAGTTTATTCTTCCTCATTGATTTGCGACATTGCCCTCAATGGTAAAATACAACCAGAGATTAAAGGGATTAATACCACAGAATGAACAATATAGTAAAATCTATATTGTTTCACACTATATATTCTCATATCTCCCAACCCTAGTTTGTCACTATAAATAAAATTATTTTCTGCTACAGATCGTCATGATGCCTTGTTTGTGGTGGGCTCCCTCGATGAAACGTTGGAGTTGAGGGGCTTACGCTATCACCCCATTGACATCGAGACGTCTGTGTCCCGAGCCCATCGCAGCATCGCAGAAAGGTGAGCTCTTTTAGTCGGCGCTGGTCATTGTCACGATACATATTTTTATTTATGCACTCACTGAGAAAGGCTGTCGAAAGGCTTGTTCACACAGTGACACAGAAAACACGCAACTAACTCTGTCTGTGCTCCACACTCCTCCTTCCTCCTCAGTGCCGTGTTTACATGGACCAACCTACTGGTGGTGGTGGCGGAGCTGAGCGGGTCGGAGCAGGAGGCCTTGGACCTGGTGCCCCTCGTCACCAACGTGGTCCTGGAGGAGCACCACCTCATCGTCGGGGTGGTGGTCATCGTGGACCCCGGGGTGATTCCCATCAACTCCAGAGGAGAGAAGCAGAGGATGCACCTGCGGGACTCCTTCCTGGCCGACCAACTGGACCCCATCTACGTGGCCTACAACATGTGATCGCCTCGTCACCGACTAATGAAAATGCAGAAAACTGAGCCAGGCTCTGAGAACGGACACGAGGGAGAAAGAGTTGGGGTGCGTTCAGTAGCAACCCCGATGTTAAAGCTCAGACACACACTCAAAACACCAAACAATGTGGGAATGCGAGTACAGTAGGAGTACTGTAATGAGAACGTGCTTCCCTCTCAGAAACTGTTCCTTCTTTGCTTCCACCTGCTCAATCGCTGCAGTCCAGGTTCACCCTGATTTCTACTGAGGAGGACGGATATGTTCTCTCCTCTTGAAAGTAGATCCATGGTCAACTCGAGGAAATTTGATCTTCATCCTCTCGGTGCATCCCATTTCTCCCTCATAGCTCCAATTCATGTTTTTTAAAGACATTTTTCATTACATACTTTAATCAAAGAATGAAATCCTCCCCTCCTTCCATTCCTTGGTTTTTATCCTGAACCATTCATCCTTGTGTGCTTGTTTGTTTTTTTTAAACCCCCCCTCCATTCTTGAAGGCAGGATGGCGCTCTGGAACTGCTGAGAGGAGCTGGAACTTTCCCCTCTTGCACTTTAAGTCCTCGCACCTCTGAGTCCACTTCCTGTCTCACCTGCCTCAAGGGGACGACCCCCCTATGTTTGCTGCTTTCACAAGAGCAAATCCACATCAGTATTAAAAAGTGCCACCAGCAACTGCAGCCCACAGGGGGCAGTCCTGACATGTTACCTTCCTACCAGGTGCACCGTGGCTTTTACCTCCCATCACATACCGTATCCTCTGGCCAGCAGACATCCTGTCGGCATTCACGTGTTACAAAACAAACTATTTGTTGGTGTGGGAAAAGAAAGACTCGATTCATAAACACACAAACCAGGATTTTAAATAAATGGGCAGAGAGACAGATTAATTTGCGGTATGAGTAGGGGTTTATTCATTAGATAGTTCTTGTGAAGTACTAACAAGTTTTTTAGGCACCGATTTTCAGAAGAAGATTTGAAGCTATACCTGGTGTTTAGGTGTGCATGCTAATTTGGAGTGCAGTCAGTGTCATCATGCAGGCCAAAAAAAACAAAAAAACACCTGTAACAACCAGTCACAGCAGTGGATTGGTTCGTTCAGCCGCATGCATGTAGAATATTTAGGCAGAGCTCAGCCCCACTTTGTGCCTCTCATGTATTGGCATTACATTTGAGTCACAGCATGCATCCGTTTCTGTAAGAAATGAATAAATACCTGGTGTCCTGCAAGATCTTTTAACGCTTACCGCTGTTCTGAAGGTATTTCCAAAACCCTCAAAGACTCTTCTAACGATCTGAATGTAAAAATACTGCACAGCGAAGTTTTTTTAACCTTCTTTCTCAAGTTCTGATTGTATTTTCTAATACAGTTAGCTGAAACCTAATTCCTTGGTTTATTTCTTTTTGTAAAACACAAGCAAAATATTGTATGAAAATTCACAGTATTGAACAGAGAGTGAATCTTGTGCAGTGGAAAGAATATTCCTTCAGATGGTTATTGGAGTGTTTGAGAAGTCTGGTAAGTGTTGTTAAACGACCTTCTGGTTTTTTTCTTCAGACTGTCTGGTATTTATTTTTTTGAAAAATATATAAAATATGGATGGCGCTGTGACTCGAATGTAATTGCACAAACTGGTTTAGGCAGAGCTGACGATTTAAGCTTTAACAGTTCATTCTTGACTTTTAAAACATCAGTTGAAAAGGTCCACTTCCTCGCGTTTTCCCGAGCTGTAAACTGTGCCCTGCTGATGAGAACTGTGTAGTACAATTGAAAGCTCCAGAACGAGCGAGTAAGTGGACCTTGAGTTGAGATTTTTATTTGTGGTCAAGGGCTGGCAGAGGATATAATTCACCAGTTTCCTGGCTTGAACTGAAGTGAGCTGCTAGCTTTCAGTCTGTGTGTCGTTTCCCTTGTTAAAGGATCTTTCATTCAATGTTAAGGCGTCACAGTCGATTAGATAAATGTAGATCATCAGAAGGCAAGTCAGTGCCTTTTTACTGCACCACCGTGACATTTATGATCATGGACTGTAGAATTTCTAAAAAAATAAAATACAATAAAATATCAAGAATGAGGACAGAACTTTGCCTTACTAAAACCCTGTGGAACTCCAGTACTTTTTATGCTTAATCCCTCATTTCTAGCTGTGCTAATGGTGTATTTAAAGAACTATTCCACCATTTTTTTCAGATGTGGAATCAGACACCAGTTTCTAACTCAAAACTCATATCACGTTTTTTTAGAGGAAGGGGGGGTGTCTCGTTTCTTTGCGAAGATTTTTTGCAGTCATGCCTTTCTCATTTCATCATTACCATTTTAACTAAGTCTTTCTGAATGTCTTTAACACTGAAAAAAAAATAAAATTTGGAATGAACAACAATCAGTAAGCAACCTGTGATTTTAAAAATGGCAGAATCCTCCTTTAAAGGAAAAAAAATGGAGGTAATAAATGAGGGTAAGGATGTTGTCTGTATACTGTATTTTAGAGGTCAAATACTGTATTACTGGTGTTAATGTGTACATGAATATGAACTTTGTCGATAAAAACTTGACTGATCTTTCATACTTGACAGCATTTTTTCTGCATTGTTAATTTATCACATTACAAAAGAGAAGAAAAAAAAAAAGGTTTCAGATTATTTTGGCAGGAACAATGTGCACTTTCCCAATATCATTTTATGTGCGTGTGTGTGTGTCCATGAGGGAGTGTGTGTGAGTGAGTGTGTGTCCACCTCAACAGTGATATTTGGCTTTTCTGGTGCAACAAGGTTTGTCTTTTGTAAGAAAATCCCAGAATATTGAACCATTTTTTTTAATTTCTTGTTTTTTTGGGTTTTTTTTTAAATGTCGCCTCCACTGTATTTTAATTCTTTCCATCCAAAATTGGAATTAAATATATTTTATAGGGGTTTCATCAATATTTTCTGATGTAATCTTTTCTTTAAAACTGCACAACTTGCAACAGTAAAACAGCTGGTTTTGATTTAGAAGCAGCTTGACGTACAAACACACCAATAAACCACTTTTCATTCAGTGACCGACACTGAGGACGCGTATGCAAGCCAACATCTGGGGCAAGTTGCTCATGAATAACAAAGTGAGGCTTCTGAGCTACTGTGTGATAATTGCTTTGTTGCTACTGTTTCACTCCGACAAGTTTTAATAAAAAGTTTTATAATTTCATGTCGGCCTTCAAGCCTTCTCAGTAGACGTTGGTGCTATTCAATAAGGGAAAGCTGGCAGACTTTTGTCCTCCAATGTCGTAACAAAGAAAGTTTCTTCCTGGATGCCCTTTTTGTGTGAAAATAAGTCATTCTTTTTCCATGCCAACATTTTCCAAGGTTTCACTCACTGCTCCATTTATAAAATTGTTTTCATCAGCTTCTGAGATCTGATGAAAACGTCCTCAACAGGCAACTCCACACGGACAATGCAACTCGACATATCCACCATATTTGCCATTTTAATATTTATTTCAGGTTTTTTTTCCAACTTGTCCTGTTGTGAGGATTGGCATACATTTCCAACCTCCAGTTTATTCTAAGCACAAAATGTAAATGTACATGTGAGGTAATGAAATTAGGATCTTTCACACAAAAAAAAACTCAAGGGCCCACAATGTATACCTCAACGACTGTCTGTTCACTATGCATTGTCGAGCTGCAACAAAGACATTCTAGTCAATGGTGCGATAACTTCTAACAACATGTCTTACTTGACAAAAATACTGTCACACTGTCATTGGATGTGTTTCATGTCAAATAATAAAAAAAAACTCCTTTGTCAGAATATTGTACGCTTTTTTTCTTATTTTCCTTCCAAACAATTGTGGAAGCTTCAGGAATAATCTGCTGCATTAAAGAAAAACTGCATCTTCTGTCCACCAGGTGTCAGTCTGACTACTTCATCTGAAAACATTAAATCACAATGACGTCACGGCCCAGTTTCTGTCAATTTTGTTCCTTCCTTAAACATCATTTTCATTTGGACTTCTCACTTCATATTTTAGGAAATAATGGAAATAGTTCTTGCATAACAGTCAAAGCTTTAGCGGGTTTGGATGTTTTATTCATCCTATTTACCACAAATCTCCACTTTACGTCACAGCTACCACTGAGCGAACAATGCTGCTGTGTTTCAGATTTCTGGAATTATTATAAGTCTATAAGCAGACTCCTGAAACTTGCTCTGTCATGTCTGCAAATTACATTATTGCTGCATAGTAAAGCAGTGTCTTTGCTGGTTGATTTGCTTTACTCTATGTGACTTTGACATAAATAAGTAAATGCAGACTTAATGTCCACTGTGATGAGTTTGAAGAGCCTGCCGTTTGGTTTTCATGCCATTAATAGCAGCCTTTGAGTCGCCAAACCTCTGGCTGGTACATGCAGTTACAAATGTTGGTAACACATTCCACTAACTTTCTAAAGAGCCATCCAGTCTGTAGTAGTAGTATCAGTATGTAGATACGTTGTTTAGAGTTGGATTTTGGTCCGTAACACCTTTCTCAGAAAGTGAGGAGTCTAACAGTCAATTGAAGGAATTTCGTGATTAATTAAAAGTTCCCTAAAAAGACAAAGCAAGTCTCAGCTGGAGGAGGACAAACACCAGCCATAAAGATAGGTCACAACCTTGCAACCTAAAAGTTATTCTTATTAATGGCTTCAAACTGATCTATAAAGCATCAGTAAAGCCACTTATAAAGCCTATTTATAACCCCACAAACACTTGATTAATATTAAGGGACCTTACTGGAAAGTTGGTCTTTATATGTTTTTTCCTTATTATCTATTCACTTTTTAACTCATTTTTAATATTTATGTCTTTCATTGTATTCATTTATTAAATTTTTTTGGTATATTTTATTTTATAAATACTTTTATACTATACTATTGACTATGTTATCAGCACTCTTCTATCTTATGTACCTGACTTCTATGTAGACTCACTTGTTGAAGAATAAACATAAATACAGAAATCTCTAAAGTGAAAAAAAAAAAAAAACATGGACACCATCACTCAGAGTAAGAACTCAGAGTTAGTGGAACATTTCATCACTAATCCAGATGGCTAAACACATTCAAACAGTCTGATGTATATTATATGATGTGGTATTTATTGCTGACGGACAGACTGGATGGTTCAGAGCAGCATCAGAGCGGCACTGAGCAGAGCTGAGATCAGCCCTGTGTTCAGTCTGTGTGCAGCAGCCACCGATGCTGTCTGACTTTTCTTCAGCCAACCCGCAAACCTGCTGGTTCTGGCGTACACCCCCGGCCTGTGAGGAAGTCCACACTCGTCCCCAAAGCTTGTCACTCCAACCAAGAAAAACCTCTCCTCGTCCTGGCTGTAACACTGCAGCGGCCCCCCGCTGTCACCCTGAGATGCACACAATCAGCAGCCATGTCTCACTGAAATCTGCAGCCTGTAGTGAATTTGTTAAAAATGTCTGAGGGTGATCACCTGACAGCTGTCGGCCGCCCCGCTCTCCAGTCCAGCACAGATCATGTTGTCGGTGATGAGGCCGCCATACCAGGTGGTCAGGTTACACGTTCTCCTGTCAATGAGCTCCACTTCAGCTTCCTGCAATCTGTTCATCATCCTGCCTGCACAACGTATACCACAATGGTATTTTACTGATATACTGTTATGCATTAATACTTTACAGAGTGATAAGCAATTATATATGAGAGCGCTTTACTTTAACCACCCCTATTTGGCGTTTATAAGCAGTTTATAAACATTGAATAAATGATTTATAACAGTATAATGCAGATATAAGTTTTTATTCATGTATTTGTTAACAATTATAACTCCTCCTGCGAGCACCCATAAGTGAATGCTGGTGTATAGACAGATAAAAGTAATAGCTGACAAATACTGTACATTAATAATTAACACTTTAACTGCTCTTATATCTGCTTACAACTTCATTTATAGTGTGTTATAAATTATTCATTAAATGTTTATGTACTGCTGCTAAGGCTAAACAGGAAGACTGAAAGTAAAGTAATAAAGTGAAATAATATAAAATACAAAAAGTCAATAAAGAGACACAAGAAGTACAGTAGAGAAAATGTAAATTAACATTGTAATGTAACTTTTCAAAGAAGACATTTTCCCTCATACAAATTAAAAGGTGAATTCATACGCAATAAAATGCACCCTTAAAGGCCTGTGTCCACACAGCTACGGGTCACATATGATGTTCACTGACTTAATGACTCTTCTCTACTTGTGCCACTATCAGGCTGCGTTTGAACCTTTCCTGGCTGCAGCTGTTGCTGTAACATTGCCAAATAGCCACTTTAAGATACAGTTTGGTTGGTGTACATCCTATATTTATTTACTTACTAATGTGTACTATTAGATGCCAGCTCCTCACAAACTGTTGAATCAGAGCTGTCATTTGTCTTATAACAAGATTGTGTGAAGGGTTTGTATCAGAGCTGCTGTTCAACAGGACCTTTATAAAATGTATATTTATTTTGTGGCCCACTATACATGTTGGGTTCCTGGGTACCATCATGGAGTTTATAGCATATATTGTCATAACGTTTGAGCTTGTTTCTCTTCACACATTAAATCGCTTTCTTCTTTAAACCATTGCATGACATGAATATTTGTGGTGTCAAACTTGAATGAAGTGGAAATGTAAGTAAGTCCTTAATAAAGAGTCACAGGTTGTTCATTCTAAAATAAGACTAAATTAAACTGTCAAGGCTGCAGCTTTTAAATATTTTGAGTCATTAATAAATGATTTTTGAACCAGATGCTCTGCAGCCTTCTTAAAGAACGATCCATTTTAATCTCTATATTATAGCAACTTATTACTGATCTGCAAAACATCAATGTAATGATTAACCATTAATAAATCTGACTGAAGAGTGTCATTCATTTTATAATTATGGTAACTTTCAAACCTTTGTAATCATGCTATTCTTGCCCAGGTCTCTCTTAAAGGGAAACTCCACTGATGTCTAGAAGTCTTTAGGAGTATTACTACATATGTGAAAAGTGTGTAAAGCCTTTTGTGGCTCCAGAGGGAGCTGAGCAAAGTCTGATAAACGATTGGAGCTGAAGACTACAAGTTTGAAAATGAAATAAATCTGGGTTTATGTATGTATATATGAGTTAGAAGAGAGACCTCTGTAGCTCCTCATCTCTGCTTGAGGCTCAATGCTACATTAGCTGCCACTAGCATAACACACCCAAATCTGTGCAGTTGCGTGAATCAAGGTGATGCACTGTGGGTAATGTGGGCTCCAGGTTTTAATAAGTAAGAAGCATGTGCAGAACAAAGAAGACCATCATTGGTTTATCATGAGACTGACTATGTAATAAAAGTGCAATGCTATGTTTAAGTAAAGGTTAATGAGTTGTTATAAAGTGAGTCTGGGTTAGTCAGAGGTTTATAGACCAACCTTTGTAATAGGTGCTGCCCCATCCAGTAATGAAACAGTGGGTGAAGTTGAGTCTGAACTCCTGAGTCACACTGTGAGGAGTGCAGACCGGTTGGACGTGGTCAGTGAAGTCGAAGGGGGAACTGAGGAGCACCAGTGTCACGTCGCTGTCAGACGTGACGTCATCGTAGTCCTTGTGCATTCTGACTTTGCTGATGGAGCGGATCTGGGCTTGGTCTCCTGGAGCAGACAACACATTAAGTCCTGCCACCACGCGGAAATGGCTTCTGCTGATCCAGCTGGACACAAAACAGAATAATTGACTGTGACTGATTTTGTTTATTGTCCACTCGCACCCAACAATGGTACTTTTTCTTTACAGGCCGGCTGTCCATGTCTCTTAAATAGCACACAAAGTCGGTTGGTTTCATTAGGTCCTGTGAACTGACGGCCTTTATTGTACACGTAGATGCTGTATATGCCTGTACACCTACATATAGCTATACAGATATACATATACACACACACACACACACACACACACACACACACACACACACACACACACACACACACACATTGAGAGAAGGATGTCAAGCATCAACACTTCTGCAAAAAGAAAAAGAAAATAAATCACAGCAGCTCAGAGGTGGAAATCACACCGCTACAACGTTGGGTCAAACTAGGCCGAATCACAGCAGCCTTTTTCTGAATTCACGGGTGTTTAATCTCCAAGGGCCCCAAAACTGTGACTGTACAATTTGTTGCAGGTTATTTGTGTTATGCAACACCAGCTTCTACCTCTCCATCATTACATTTAACTCAAGTTGTATTTTTCTATGCAACCTTTAAGCCTCCGTTGGTGAAACACTTATACAGAAAGCAAAAAACTGACCTTGATTAGCCACCTGCTCATATCGATCACACAACTAATCACCCATATGACATTTCTGTGGCTCTTCTTTAACACGACTTATATCTAAAATGTTTCTCTTTGCACATGTGATGGCCCACAGACATGTTGGAACTCATATCCAGGACACCCTTACAGTAATTCCAGGTACTCCTTTTTAAATGTGATTTACACAGTTCAGCCATAACATTATGAATGCATAATGGGTCGGACCACACGGGCCAGCCTTTGCTCCCCACGTGCATCATGACTCTGTCTCCGGTTGACTGCTTTTCCTTCCTTGAACCACTTTTGATAGGTACTGACAACTGCAGACCGGGAACACCCCACAAGAGCTGCAGTTTTGGAGATGCTCTGTTGTCTAGTCATCACAATTTGTCCCTTGTCAAAGTCGCTCAAATCCTCACGCTGCCCATTTTTCACACATCAACTCTGCGGACAAAATGTTCACTTGCTGACTGATATATCCCACCCACTGACAGGAGCCATGATAACCAGATAATCAGTGCTCATAATGTTATGGCTGATCAGTGTATATATCACATCCATGTAACTGCTCCTTTGTAGATTTATACTTGTTTAGCATTTGTTGTCATCATGACCTTCAAACCTATTCTCTTCACATTTATATAGATAGAAACAGAGATGTACAAGTTTCTTAAAATCTTGTGTTGTTTTGTTATCTCGTATTTTAAGATGTTGGCTGCCAGACATCTGTTATATCTGGAAAATGCTGCTAACTGACCTGTAACCTAATATGTCTGTCGGTATATCTGTTTTTACATGTTAATAATTCGCTTCAGAATAAAAGTTGTCCATAATGTGTTATTATTACATTATGTGGTCTAGTTCTTGTGCACAAACACAGAGTTACTGTATTGACCAAATGTGACTGGATGCAGGTCAGTCTTATCAGCGAGGCGTGTTAGGTGTTAGGTTATACTCACAGGTATTTGTGGAAGCAGTGTGTGGCAGTGAGCACCCAGAGGCTGCTGATGATCGTGCCGCCGCAGTGGTGCTTGGACAGGATCTGGATGCTAACCTGCCAGGGCCACGACCCCTCAGGAGCCTCCCGGCCCCCCACTATCCGAGGCGAACCCGGGTGGCCGACCAGGGACCGCTGCCCACAGTCTCACAAACACAATCAAATAAAAGCTCTCGTTTTATTTTTGAAATGGACATCCTGTTGTTTGCATTGTAGGAGGAAGTGGTGAGACTAGCTGCTATGTTACACATTAACATTAGGTTACTCTGTTAGTTCTGAAATAATGAGTTAATTAATCAATAATAATGGATTATTTGTTTAAATCTGTTATCGGTGATGATTTGGTGCTTTTCTGTTTATTTCTGTGTAACTATATTAAATACATTTGTTTTTAAGAATTTAAATACACCAACTCAGGCTGTGGGAGCAGATGATGTGATGAAAGGTGGGTGGATACAGCAAGTAAAGACACTGCCACAGCATCATTGTTGTTCAACTGTTGTTCAAGTTTTTCAGACAGGCTGATATAAGACATGTTGCACTGTGTCACAGGAGCTAGCAGCAGCGGCTACCTCCGACTGGAGCTGAACTTCAGGAGCATGTTTGGTTAAGGTGTGTTTACCTCTTGTTGTGCTACAACCATTACAATGTGTATTTTTAGACTAGGTTATACTGTCAGTGTGCTAACATTAGGCAAACCGCGTTTGACACGGTGTTCATTTGAATAGTACTCAGGTAGAACGCTTCAACGTTGCTTAGCAACCAAAATGGTCAATCAATCTATCAATCAATCAATAAATCAATCTAACGTTAAGTGAAAGTCTCTGCTTTATGAGAAAGCTTCCCTCAGAGTCTGCACGAACCGTTAGCTAACAGTCACTCTTTAAAAGTAATTCAATATTTATATTTAAAAACAAAACAGAAATAAATACATTAAAATACATTTAAAAACGCTCCCGGGTGTTTCAGTTCCCTCCCCAGTCCGGGTGTCACTCACCATCCTGCGGGGAACTCAGACTCAGACTCAGAGCACTCACTGACAGCACAAACGCCTTAAACTGCATTTAGTCTAAACTCTTGTTGACATTTTTAAACCGCGAACAAAAACAACAAACAGTGACGTCACGCGCAGTTGAGCGCGGTGTTCAGTGGTTCCCAACCTGAGGGTCGGGGCCCCTGTAGGCGTCGGGGGCCCCTGTAGGCGTCGGGGGCCACCGCTAGGGGTCGCCAAAGCTTCACAGTGGGGATGCGAGGCGTTCTTGATTTTAAGGAGAGTAAGAAAGCAGTAGAGCAATATCTCAGCATTTAGTCTAATTGTGTAAAAAACAAACAAAAAATAAATTAAAATTGGTCTGTATGATTGTTAAAAATAAAAAAATACACAATACAGTCAGAGAATTGTATAAAAAAGTTAAAAAAAACAATCAGAAAACACTTGTAATGATGTAATATTGACTGTAAAATAATCTGCTCAAAAGTTTTACACAAACTTCCTGCTGTAATTGTGTTCACTATTTGTGTTTATTGTACAGTTTATTAGTTGTTCTGTTCTGTTAATATCCATAAAATATGTTTACTCAATGATAGAAACAGGTTCCCTTAAGGAAAAAGGTTAGGAATCAGTGGTTTAGCTGCTCAAAAGGGGAAATTAAGTGAGAATTATGAGGAGTTTTCAGTCTAAACCATCATGTAGCCTGTAGTTCAACCCTGGCTTTTCATTTGTTTTTGAGAGAACTAATGAAAAATTTTGATCATCTACTGATTGTAGTTCAGTGCACAGAAAGTAAAGAGAGGGAGAGGAAGGGTAGATATAGATATTGGCATATATGTTAGCCTATACGTGTAGTTTACAAAACAGAAAATGTGTTTAAAGTAGTTTAAATAACATTGTCCAGTAGAAAGTCATCTGGCTCCATAAAACACTGATGTAGTAATATGAGGCGGGAAAACTAATTACATTTGTTTAGTGATGTTGGTGCAAAAGCAATCAAATAATCCTCATAGAAAACTTTTATTTTTAACTCCATATCTCGAATAGTTGAAGTATTCCTCTCCTAAAATCTCAACAACGAAAGAAATTCATGAAAACATGTCCAGTTTGTGATTTCCTCAAGGAATAAAGGTTATGAACAGTATCATTATGAATGGCAGTGTGGCAACATTGGGGTGGGAGCAGAGAATTTGTAGGTGGGGTGAATGCCTCCTTTTTTTGTTGAAGCTCCCCAAAATCTCTGGGCAGGTCCCTAAAATGAGCTCTGACATAGAAAAAATAATAATAATAGAACAATTTTATTGTATTGTCCCTAAAGAAACATCTTCAGACTTTAAATGATTTGTTTCATTCATTGACACACACACACACACACACACACACACACACACACACACACACACAGATTACATAAAACAGGGGGCAGGTTACCGGATTAAACTGCCTATTTCTATAAAACAAAACAGTTAGAAAATGCTCCATGTTTCAAAATATATACATGTTTCAGTTTTCATGAGTACAATAGTCTTATAGCCCACTCATATGTAACAATGTATGTTTTTAAATGTGTGTGACATAGAGAAACTTTATTAGACATCATCATTTATATGGGAAATTAAATAAATATGAATATATATTTGGCTTGTTTAAATGATCTGAACTGTGCATTTAAACACACTATATGTAAAATATTGTCTCAGGGGCCTTCTGGAAACTGTCTCTGACTGAATGCCCACAGCCTGACAGCCAATAAATTCCTGCACAAACTCGCCGCACTGAGCACACACAGTGAGTCGATGCGTTTTGTCAGAAAAAACCTTGCGCGTATTTTCCGCGCACAATCTCATCCAGGCTCATCTCTCCCGAGCCCAGGGACCTGTATATGTTGTGAACCACACACTGAGGTTTTTTTGGAGGCTGCAGGCCTAAATGACCTTTACGATTTTACGAAACGCGCTTGCCGACACTCCCTTACATTCTGCCGAGAGTCATCAATTATGCAGGGAAACTGCTCGCACTGAGGGGGAAGATAGCAGCAACAATATGGCGACAACCGCAGTTTCTCCCCAATCTTTTCCACATCTGCAGTCCTGCAACGGCTTTCTGGATTCATTGTAACGCTTACAAAGTGAGTATCCTTTATTTATGATCGTTTGAGATATCGGTGCATGTGTTGTTGGGTGAAGGCAGATTTTCTCTCAGTCGGTATTCTTGCGTAAATGTCGCAGAGCTGCACACTGCCCCGCATCTTTTTTTTTTTTAAAGGGGGAGCGGGATGGAAGAGGGTGTCTGCGTTCATTGAGCTTTCTATCGGCTGGAGCAGAGCAGGGAAAGGGGAAGAGGGAAAAAAAAAAGAAATTATCAGTCAATTTGATGATTGATTGCGAGGAATTTATCGGATTAACTATTTCGTCGAGCATCCGAGGCATTGATTAGACCTTTGCGAGAGAAAATGCCTCGTTGGGTAGGCTTCAGGTAGGGCGCCGTCTGACAGCTCCAGCTCCCCTATCCAAAAAATACCCCAAATACTGAAGATATTTGTCAGATTTCGGTCACTATTTTTTGGTTTTGTTGACTCCGGACTACAGGATGATACTCTTGAAACACCGTAAGGCTTCGAAAAAGGGGCTGATGCTATGTGAGTAGCCGGATCCTCCTTCTACCATCCATAGCCAAGAAATTGACATTCCTCCAGGTGATTTTGGTGTGGCAGCTTCCTAACTCTTCTCTAATCTTGTTATTTCTTATGTTTCATGTCATGCTGCAGACTATGTGTGTGTCTGTGTGTGTTTTATGCCGCTGTCTAGAATCATACTCTGGGCTATCTTGTGCACAGATAGAGCCCTTATTGATTTGGCAGTCGACATGGCTTCACGGGTGTGGTGCAGATCCTTGAAGGCAACGCGCAAAAACGCACAGAATATACCCGAAACCCCCCCCAATCGTATTTGGCTTATTTGCTGAATAACAAGAGGATGCATGTTGCGTTTATTTATTATGATACATCGACATCACATTGTGGCTTTGAGAAATCCACGGTTGCGTTTACCACAGCGTGACATTTTCAACATACAAACCACCCACTGCAGCAGGAGTGCTTTGGCCAATTTGGTTGTAGCGGGGCCACGCAATTCTGCTCCTTTCTATGGCCGAGCTGGACTTTTTCTATCCAATTAAATATATTAGAGGAGAAAAAACGCACATAATGGCGTCTACGGGCCCTCCTTCTTAATTAACAGGGTTAGTAAACACGTCTCCGCGTCTCTGAAATTAGGAAAACGACTGAGGAAGATGGCCAAAATGTGCCTGTTGTTTTCTCTGCGAATATGACTGCACGGCCAAGCCTGGATGTAAGCAATGTGCAACCCACGAGCCCGAGACACAACAAGACGAGTGTTGTCATCCTGACTTAATAACATGGAAGACAATTGAAAGATAAACTGCAGGCCTACAGGCGTCGAGCCCAACAAGGAGGCCCGGCGTACAAGCAAAACGGGGTTGTGCACGCGAATCGGTTATGAATTCTCCCCCTCTGTCAACCCTGCAAGTATGCTTTCGTGCATGTGTGTGTGCGTGTGCATGGGTGTGTGTGTGTGTGTGTGTGTGTGTGTGTGTGTGCACGGTGGTGTGGTGCTGAACCGGACAGCGCCAGCAGAGCAGCAGAAGGCTCAGTGACTGCGAGGTTCCGGGGTCCATTTTAAAACAGACGTCTTGGCTCACAGGCTGCATGTTTTCATGTGTGTGCCCCCCTCCCACCCCCCGACTTCTTCCCTCTCATACCAGACAGAGAGGAGTCTTTGCTGTGTGATATCAGCTTTTACAGGTCGAGCGTTTTTAATTAGACTGTGTTATGCAAGAGGGGAGCAGGGAAGTGACAGGCCTTGTGATTCAGACGTGGTCGTTGTAGTGTTCTCCAAATTTAGGCTGCATCCACCTTTCCCCTCCACCACCTCGGGGCTAGAAGACAAGAGGGTTGTGTGTAATGACAATATGATTAAGGGAGGAAATATGATATAAAATCATTCAGATGGTAAATGCCTCAGTTCAGGTGTGGCTGTGTTTCCTCTCAGCTGCCTCATCTTCCCTTCAGTGCTGCCACACATTAGTATATTGACCCTGAAATGTCCTGCAGCTTGAACAGTTGTCATGTAACCATCATACCCTTTTTTACATCTAAGTGTGTTGGGGGAAAAAGGCTCCACTGAGTCATGCAGCAGCCATTAAGTGCGCTGTGTTTTCTGTCAGCGTTTTTTTCCACAGCTATTCAAAAAATCATAAGGAGTAAAAATGCTTAAATGGGTCTGTTGTCTCTGTTGTCGGTGGTTTAATGCAGGACCGAGGACTTGTTTCCAACACTGTGGGAAGATATTGGCTCATGCTCAGCCACACCTATACTGTTGTTGCCTGAACTGACAAAAAATGTCTCTCCGATATGTAAATTGCATTATTCCTGCTTTTCTCTTCAAGTTCTTGAGATTCGTGACAAAACAACATAAAAGACAGAATAATAACAAAGAAAAAATAGCATCAAGAAACATTAAAATTACTAAAAAACATCAAAGAATCCTTATGTATTCAGCTATAAAACATAATACCTCAATAAGAGCATTATTGTGTATCTAATTTAACTCATCAACCTCTGTAAATGATCAACTATGCAGTTTTTTAATGTAAACATAGACGCAATATATCTGCTATATCATGAACCAGGACAAATGTATTGTCAGATGTCTCTTATAAAACACTTTTATACATATGTGGTGAGATTTCGGATGTGAAAATACCGAACCTGCTTGCCTTTGGCACTGTAAGCCCCACTACCCGTCGCCTCAGTATGATCTTAAACTTAACTACCGTAGTCAGTTCATATTAACCAGCCACTGCGTTTAGATCCACAGAAGATTTGACTGTTTTTCTGTTTTCTGTATCATTGTTTTGGTTTTGCTCCGGTGACGTTAAAGTATCGTTGAACACAAGTCTGTTCCTGTTTGGTTCACCTTATCTCTGTAGACTGCAGGATAACAGAGCTTAATGGTCTAATATCCTTAAAGGGACATTTCACTTTCCTATAATTACTGTAGCTTTTAGCATTTGGCAGCCATCTGCCAGAGAGCCCAACTGATATGGGTTTTTGAGACAGATACTGATAAAAAAATTTTAGGGAAAAATTCACAGATTACTAATATAGGGGCCGATATATTGAATTCTTGAGCTGAAATGAAAATAGACCGATTTTGCACCAATATGTCAATGCAAAGGTACTCAGAAGGCTGCTTCCTTAAACAAATAACTTAAATATTTTAGTCAAACACTGTAGATCTTGATGTATCCTACTTGTCTTCTGTGCTGGGGCTGTTTTCTTATTTACATTCATTTGGATCAAGGAAAACAAGCAATTTGTAAAATGGGAATATTGTAAATAAATAATGTGGCAATGATGAAACATTCCGGCAGCCCTATATAGTCATTATTAACATTCTGAAGAGTGGGATCAAATATTTTCTCTTCTTTTAACTAATTTTTCTATTCATCACGACATAACAAAATCCTCAAATGTTTGCGTAAACATTAATGCATTCCCTTATTGCATTTTGTCACTGGTTCCAGACCTCTTCCTATAAAAGAGTTAAGGATTATTGCTGAAAAGTTACATTTTATAGCTAAAAATGCTTTTATTTTGTTCAACATGTTGGATGAAAGGTCTTTAAAAGAAAAGTATTGGGTAAGTTTTGTTGACCTTTCTCCCCTGTGTGCTCCTCCTGCAGAGCTGCTACTGTGGATGGTACAAACCTAAAGACCAAGTAGCTGCAGGATGAAAACATGGCTGCACCCCTTATTGCACCGCCAGGACCTGATAGCTTCAAGAAGTTTACTGTGGAATCTTTGGCGGGCCTTGAGCTGCGCATCAATGAGGAGAAGAACAGGAAGCCACCCAAGCAGGACAGCAGCTACCGCGACGATGATGACGAGAACAAGCCCAAGCCCAACAGCGACCTGGAGGCTGGGAAGAGTCTGCCCTACATCTACGGGGACATCCCTAAGGGAATGGTGGCGATACCACTGGAGGACCTGGACCCATACTACCTGAATTCTCAGAAAGTGAGTTTACAAAGACATACACACACACACACACACACACACACACACACACACACACACACACACACACACACACACACAATGATGTTATGAACTCACATTTATTAAAATTGCTTTAAACCAAGGATGTTTCTGACTAGGACTGGGTATCAAACCTCAGTACTTTTTGGTACCATCCAAAGTATGTATTGAGTGTCAGAAGTTACCATCAAACCTCAAAGTCTTGTTAACGTATTATCTTATAATCCTATTCTTTGATCAGATAGTGCCTGATTTAAATACACATTTCACCAGTTCTTGTGTTTAGACAGTCTTTAACTTTGGCTTTTATTGTTCACTGAAAAAAGTGTTCTTGTAGAAAAAAATGTCAATATTTCTCAATGTAAGTATTTTGGTTATATGTCTCAAAACTTACAGTACTGGCACTGATATCACAAAATTTCCAACGATACCCAGGCCTATTCATGAATGGTGGTTGTCCCTCTACCTCAGGTGTCCAGATTTTCAAAGAATGACACTTTAATTTGTAATATCTCATCTACATCTCCTATATTGCCTCTGTATTGAGATTTGCAAGTCAGAATATGATAACATTGCGTCGTACCACAACTCAGCTCTTGTGCCTGGCCTGTTTTGTGTGAACACTTATATTTTGATAGCAAAGTCAGGTGAGGTGTGGGTTTTGAGATTTGGACTGGAACTTGTGAGGGATCGTGATGGGTGACATTGTTTAGAACAGCTCAATATGATTGTGATTTAAGTCTGACTGGGACATATTTTAATTTCCCCTATTCAACCATCAAACAGCTGCTCAGACAGCTGTTCTGGTATCAGTGAAGTTAATAATTAACGTAATGGTCAGTAGATGAGTAGCCCCATGATGTCAAGATGAGTCCTGCGTTGTGACTGGAATTCACACAGACAAAGCAGAGACGTGTTGTGGTTTGTGATGGTTGGCTTCCAGGTGTGCTGTGTTACAATTATTTTAATTTCATGATTAGGTTGCAGAATGTA